ACTGAGCAAGAATCTCCAGTGTGAAGTGGTTGATATTTCTTGTATTTTGTTCCCAGAGTTCTTGCTTGTTCTCCCATGTATTTCTTAACTAGTAAAATTACAGATGTTTTTAAAAAACCCCAAACATTCAGATTATGCCAGTGTAGGCACAAGGAGAATTATTTATTAATTATTTTATGCCAAAGGTCATATTGAGGTGTTTCTTAATAAAAAATCCATCTGTAAGTAATTGTAGAACATGCATTCATTTTTAATTTTATTTCCAAGACTAATGAATCGCATTACACTTGGGTTAGGATTTAAGTATATGAACTGTTGTAAGATGAACAAATGCAATTTCTACTAAATACATGTTACTTTTCGCTTTTTTTCCATAGTTTATTTCAAGTGTATTCACAGTCATCTTTTGTGTGATTAAATGTGAACAGTAGTTAAATTTTTTTACAATCTCCAAACACAGGTTAAATATTTATGTTATTTTTAATAGAGTATAGAAGATTTTCTTTCGTGCCTTGATTCTGCAGTGGATATTTGTGGTATTATGGTGAAAAAAGGAGACAAAAAGAAGGAAAGGTACCTTAATTTAATTATTCTATGAAATGTGGCTATATTGCTGCACAAATGCTGGATAGTTAGTATGGGAGCAGTCATACTCAATGTGTAAGAGATTCCAAGCTGCTTAACTGTAAAATAGAAAGGCAGTTCTAAATCCATGGGAGAAGGAGGAGAGGAGAATTCACATTTATCTAGTTTTGTTGGCTCACTACTTTCTGTGATACAGTGTATAAATTCGCTAGGGATCTTTCAAAATCTGAGCTATGCCAGTGATAATTTGTTGGGGTTTTTTTATTAATGTTTTGGAATTCCACATAAATAAATGGTCAGAGGAGGAAATTAATTGATGTTAAATAAGTTTTAGTATCTGTGATCAACTACTATATGATAGAATCATAGAATCATATTTTTGTTTAATATATTCTTGTTCCTTAGGCAAGTCCTGTTTCAGCATAGACAAGCTCTGATTGAGCAGCTCAAAGTCACAGAAGATCCAGCTCTTGTTCTGCACCTGACATCAGTATTGTTATTTCAGTTTTCAACTCACTGCATGCTTCATGCACCAGGAAGAACAGTACCACAGATCATTAATTTCCTAAGTGGCAAGATCCCAGAGGTATTCTTTCTTTCTTTTTAAGGCGAATTTACCTTTTTAATTCAACAGAACATGAAAGTTGTGCCTCACATTATTTTTGCTGCATAAACCTGACGCTCTTGGGTTTCAAGTACACACTTACATACAGAATATACAATTCCTCTGATCTGTACTGCATTGCAAACCTGTCTTTTCAGGGATCTGTCATCAAATTTTATTATAAAATTTAAAAATCAATCTGTTACTAGTCCTTTGACTTAACCATAGAGACAGCTCTCTCAAGGGATTCTTACAACTGAATAATTTCTTTCCTCTGAGCTACAGCACGTTTGCTTTTTAAACTTTCCTAATCCAGTGTTAAAGAAAGATGTACCTCTTCAAGAGCAAATACATTGAGATTCTGTATTTTATACTGCCAAAAATGGCGGTGTTTACTAACTGCATTGCTTTAATGCAGTCAGTGGTTAATTCTCCTGTTTTTGCAGCATGGATGCACTTTCAGTTTTCTGCCTCTTTGAATGTCTCTTTGAATTTAGGTTGTCAAATACTTCATTAGAAATATATTTCTGTATCACTAACTCTCTGCCCAAGAATAGGAGAATGCTTTTTAAAAACATTTCATCTTTAATTATAGGTCTGTCTGTGTAACACTGACATCCCCTGGGTTTGTTCTCATTTTTTGCCCTCAGGATCAGCATTCACTGATAGTCAAATACCACGGATTAGTGGTGAAACAATTGACCAGCCAGACTAAGAAAACTGAACATGGAGACAGTGACACAAAAGATAACATGGAAGAGGAGGAAGGAGCAGAAAGCATTCGAAAAGAGCTCCAGGAAATCACTACCTCTATCAAAGATCTTGTTCTCAGACCTAGGAAATCTTCTGTAACAGAGGAATAAAACTGTTACTCAGCATATCCACCTCCATGATAGAGTCAGACTTTATTTTCTTTTATGCTGAAAAAAAGGGACAACAAAATGCTTGACAGACTTTAAATTTGGCCTCTAATAGTTTGCAAATCACAGCTGGGGAAGGACAGTTGCTGGGTGATGGTGGCAAATAGAATTTTGTTACTTCTACAGTGTACTTTTAACACACATTAATGTAAATGTGAGAGAACACAGTTGTGGACACTTTGGGTATGAAACCAGTGGGTTTTAATTGGCATACTCATGTGAGACCTCAAGAAATTACTCTTCAAATAACAGTGTATTTTGTCCCATACACACACAGGCTGATAGTTCTACTTCTCTGATATGGATTTATAGTGAGATAAGGATTGCATATAAGTGTCTATAAGCCTATCTTAATTTCAAATACTGGTTTTGAAACATACTCTGTTACCTAATAGGACACCAGTGAAGGGCATCTTTGGGTTGGTATCATTAGTGGATGTTCTCAGTTTCTGTTCACTGGCCTGCGACAGTAAAACATTTTGAGTACGAGTGGTTATTGTTAAACTTAAGGGAAGTGCCCCACTACTGATACGAGTTTCAAAATGTACTGAAAATTCATGAACATAAGCACAGTCATGCTACTGCTGTATTCTGCTAACGTCTGAAATAGCTCTTCATTTAAAACTTGTAATTCAGAGGAGGTGACACTTTTGCATTAGGATTTTGGGAGCAGATTAATCCTGTTACACTTGCCATATTGTACATGCCAGGTGTTTATTCAGCAGACTTGCTGAGTGTTTAGTCCAGTTCCCGTAGCAGATAGAAGCATTTGTCTGCATTCTGTCAGCTCTTGAGAGAATTTGTGGTGTTCTGTTTATCCTGAGTTTCTTGAAAATTGTTCAGTTCATTATCTTTCTACATATACTTCATAGACAGAAATATTGCTTCTCTCAGGTTTTTTGCCAGCCTTATATTTACATGAACAGTACTTTATGTCTTCAGGAAAATGCAAAAATATGAACAATTGAGTTCTATCACTATTAATGCCATAATTCTTGTATGGCAAATATACTACTAATTTATTTTTAAGAGAGGATAATTTTCAAACTGGAAATATCTAAGTTCTATTACTTCAGTAATACCCATTGATTAAATATATGTAATTTCAGGGGGTTTGCATAACATCTTTTTTCATCTCTTATTACTCAACCTTGTTCTTTTCACTAAAAATGTCATTCACCCATCCTTGCCAAAACTGATGCTCGAAGAGGGCAAATTCTGTGCAAATTCTACTCCAATTTTTCTATTTTCCAACAATTCACATACTCTGAGCTTAATCATAAATATATCCAAGCCTGAAATTGCAACAATTGAAAGTTGTGGGTATGGAACTCCAGTAACAGAGTAACAAATATTAAGGTAATTTTGGTGATGTAAACAATAGAATTTTACACATATTTAAAAGGCAGTAATGTTTAATAATATTCATGCCAATGCTGGTCTTTTGTCAGCCATAAGGCAAGAATAGTTTGGATTTGTAAGGCAGAAGCAAAGGTAGTTGTTTCTCTTCCTTGGTGGGAGGCTATAACATCTGACAGTAAGACAGTGAGGAATAAAAGATGGAAAATATTCAGGTTGTTGAACTTTGTTTAAGAAATAGTTTGTATGCAGGGAATAGGTTTGATTTTGTGTTATTTACCTGGAATAATTAATAAGTTCCTATAATGAATGTAAACAATTTTATATGACATTAAGCTCTTTTGTAAATAATATGCCATATGAAATTCTGTATGCAAATAAGAAATTATTTTAATAACATTAAATGATGAAATATTTGAAGAGCATTCTATTGACTTCATCAGTGTTTGATCTTCTTGCAACTTGCAGCTTTCAAACAGCAATAGTTGATATGCACTGTTACACTTAACGTGCCCTTCTGAGTGTCCCTGTATTTTTGTTTGGTAGAGTTTTATGCTGGTATAATAATGAACTTCCTACAGAATTTACTTTATCATGTGTTCAACTTGCTATATTCCAGCCTATTTTATAGGAAGGATTTAAAAAATGGATTCTTTGAAGTAGATAGAATGGAAGCGCTACAGTTCAGTGGTACCTTTTGGCTACTAACAGAACTCAAGGAGACTGAATTTTAAGTTTACCTGGGAAAACTGTCTCAGGTATTTTTTCTTTATTTGGAAATTCAGTCTTTAGTTTATGATACAGAAGTATATCTTCTGAAAAAGAAAACTTGTGAATTAGCAAAATTCTTTTTCTTTTTTCTTCTCCCTAGGAGGAATGTACATGAGAGGAAGAGTAATCTTGTCTTATAAAATCAGAGGTAGAATTCACAAAGCAAAAATGCCCTTTGAAATACCTAGGAAAATTAAAGGCACTACAAAGTACACAAATTAACACAGTTTTCAGTGTTTACTCTGTTTTCAAGTGTTAGTGTCAGCCTCTCACCTTCACTTATGCTGTCTAAACACCACCATTATATTTTTAATCTCATAAACTGACATGTATAGATGCATGTATGTGTCTATACACACCCCCTTGACAAGTGTTCTCACAACCTTGTTTGCTGCTACTCTCAGATTCGAGTGGATATAGTAGTCATAGGTAGAGTAATACAGCAACAGCCTTGCCTTTCTTAAGTGGCAAAAGATGGCTTTTATAGTTGGTTACTTGCAGATCTGCTGTAAATAAGCAAATTGTTGCTCTGTTAGAACTTTCAACTTTAGTTTCACAGCTTCTTAAAAAATTCGGCACAGGTTTCTAAATAATATCACTGGGTTTTGTTGTCTGCATGCATCTATCTGAGATCTTGTTCAGATAAAACTACAGTAGTTCTGTTCTCTGTAGGCTCATGAATACATGAGCTACTCAAGTAGTGGTTGCTCCTTGAATGTTTTTAGAAAATGGAAATTTCTAAAAATCTGGGTAGATTGGGGTTTCCTGTTTAATAGGTAGTTTAGTGCCCTTGCAGATGACAGAAGAGTGACTGTGGTGGGTCAGACTGAAGGTCAGCGTAGCCCAGTACTGTCTCCAGCAGAGGCCAAAAGTAGGTGCTTGGAGAGGAATATAAGAACAAGACATACAGTATTTCTCCTTTGAATGCTTTCTGAGCCTCCAAATCCATGCTGTCCAAGCTTTTTGAACAATTGTACTTCATTGTAAATACTCTCTGCTAGCTCAAATAACAGAACATATTCAGTAAATGCCAAAGATATTTTGTCAGGAAAACAAGGTCTTTAGGAGTTATTAAGGAATGCCATCTCTTTGAGGTTTTTTTTATTCCTTAAAAAATGAATATTCTAAATTGGAATGAGTAACTTGAGTAGCTTAAAGAGAACCACCATTTGCTTGATGAATTTCCCAAACCCTCAACATGAAGAAGAAGGTAGGTTGTGTTGGGAGACAGATAAAATAAGCTCTTTTGTATTTCAGGAAGTGGTGTGGGAGCTGCCAGAGACGTCATCTAACTGATAGTCTGAAGGAACAACAGGGTTACCTCCTCATTTATACTTAACTTGTACCTGTTGGGAAAAACCCTGATTCTGTTTTAGACGTTTCTCTGGGCATGTCTTTTATTAATACTGTTTTATTAATAATAACATTTCTGTTATTCTCTCTCTCTGCACCTTAGGCAAATTTGAGGGTAGTCTTTGAAGCATAGGGAAAGTGATGTGCTGTAGGACACCTGAAGCTCTCATCCTTGATGGCAAGAACATATTGTGTTAGTATTTCTAAGTGTCATTAGCTCTCTCAACAGATCTGCTTGGGAAATACTGTCTGGATCTGATTTATGAACTTGAAAAGGTACTTGGTTAGGAACTATACTATCAGTTTTTTTTCTTTCTGGAAGGAAAGACAAGAGGAAACTATTTACAATTCTCATTCTAGACTCAAATTCACCCCCAACTCACCCTCTCTCTCCTCAATATGCTAAATTCACAGGTTTGAAATGAAAAGTGCTTGGTATAAATAAAGCTTATAGCACAAATTAAAATAGGAGGAAAGAGATCAATCTTGTTCAAGTAATGCCTACGTGTCTGGAGAGGTTTAATAAGACCACAAGCAGAGATCATCAGGTCTTGGCAGTAGTAGTCAAAGGATCAGACTTAACTGTGAGATGCTATCTAGACACAGATAAACTCCAGAACATGTCCAGATTTGGCAATTTTACCAAAATACTCAGATAACGTAATACATATTTAAACTATTCAAACATTTCCTTCTTTCTTCTATCTCTGATACTAAACAGCTCCCACCCACTTGACGTTATAGACCAAGTGATTCAGATCTATTGGCTCTTGGTTGTGGAAAAATCTGCCTTGAGGTCAGTTATGGTTCATACCACAAGCAGCCATCCTTTCTTCCCTCTGCCTAACTTCACCCTGCTTTTTAAAATGGACACAATGTCCTTACTTTCAGCTGCATTTGATTAAGGGTCTGCATAGAGTCATATGCAAAGTATAAGGACCTCTGAGCACTCTGTACATGCAGGAGTCTGTCTGTGAAACCTGGCCTCTGTTGGGTCCAAGCAGAAGGCAAAAGAAGTGGCTGCGACTCAAAAGCCAGAACTAGGAAATACTGAGAGAGAGCCTAGAGGACGCTATTGCTGCCACACCGAGGTAATCCTGTGTGAGCACCTTCCCACCTACTGGAAAGCAGCAAATTGTAACAGCCCAGAAAATGCTTAGGACGTGTCAGAACTTCTGAGTTCTGCTGTATCCCTGAGCATCTTTCTTGAAACCGGAGGAGGTTTTTTCCCTGCCCCCCCATTTCCTGTACACAACAATCAGACTTTAGTAATTGCAACTTTTCTCTTTCTTTTTTGATTTATAATCCCACGCGAGGCCTTTTGGATTCATCGTGCATGAACCAGTGTGTATCTGGGGATGAATAATGTTCCATCTTATTTTCTTTTTTCCCTTGCACTGAACAGTTTTGTTTTTTAACAGAAATGCCTTTTTCCCTTTTGAGAACTCTCAGAAATATGTTCCTTTAAGAACCTCCTACATGATATGTATTTGTAATTTGTAAACACAGTATGTCAAAGAATGATTTGATTCATTGGTGAGGCAGCTAGATATTTGCATGTCATGAGGTCTAAGGGAAACAAACTGACCCTCAGCCTTCCCCCACCCAGGCAAATTCTGATGGGACCCTCAAATAGCTCTGGCAAAGTGTTCTGTTTCTTTTGGACTTGATGAATGCTTGTTTCTGTGAAGACGTGTAATTATTTCTTCCTGTATTTTGCTGTGCAAGTTACCAGGAGAAGCAGCTTAAAACTTAATGTGAGTATTAAGGCTTTTTTCCATTATTCCTTTCTCTGATAATCTTTAAACATGTTAGTGTAGAAGGTACTTAATTTAATATTTTGAGCAAGTATGCAGGAAGTTTTTCCTCACAAAGTACTGAATAAATGAGATACTGACTTCCACATATATATTATGTTTATAATTTTGTGTGCCTAAAGAGATACCACACTTAATGAATAATTAAAATTAATTTTTGATTAATTCTTTTCATTGTACTAATTGGCTCACCCACTGGTTTGCGGAAAGATTGTTTGGGATTTCCTTTGTAAAGAGATGAGGATGAGTTATGTTTACTCCAAAGAACAATCCAACAAAAAATGAGCATGCTGTTTCCCAACACATTTTTATCTCCTAGCAATCTTTCATAACTATTTGCTTTTGCAAGAAAAAATTCTAGATATTGTCTTTTCTGTTAAGTCACTTGTTTCTAGCATAAGTAATTTTAACATCTAATGTAGATTGCTCTTGATTTTGGAAGTGAAACAGCTTCCAAGCTGATTTTTATAAGAAGTCAAAATATTGCTGTAAACAAGTATCATCTCCAAATTTTCCCTCCATAAGACACTTTGTGTGACCTTTATTTTTCTAGTCATAATTTTGTTTGGAATTTACATCTAGAAATCAAGTTTCTGATGCCTTTTTTTTTGTTTGTGTTAATATTTTTCTTCTCTTTGTGCGACAAGTTTGTATAGTCACAGAACAAACTGCAGTGGATTTCATGTATTAACATAACAGATTGCTGATGGTCATCCCATGTAATTTTAATGCAGGATCAGGAAAGTTACTTTGACTCAAGGATGTTTAATTGGTAGAATATTGAGATGATACTAAGTAATTTGCAGGGTTAGAGAAAAATGAATTCAAAAGCTGCTTGAAAGAGATGTATGGTGTCTCCAAATTATTTGCCAGCAGTGATAATTTATAAAGCATGTATTTTTTGGTTGACATGGTAAGACATATGTTCTGTTGGCTCTGTACCAATAATCCCAAGTTTTTAAATTTATTTTCCCTACTGTACTTTTATTTCTCAAAAGAATGGTTAAAAACTTTTAATATCGCCTAACCATAGACAGAAAAAAATATTTTAACCAGCATGCTTCCAAACATCAAGCCCAAAATCAGAGGATGAAATTCCAAACCTGCTGGAAGGAGCAGCCCTCCTGCCGACTCAAGCTCTAGGTGCCATCAAGGCTTTTAGATTGCCTGGAGAGTAAATGTGAGCTGAGTTTTTCCTCCACATTTCCCTGACAATTTAGGGTAAATGATGCTCATAAATTAATCATTTCTAGTTCAACTGTTCTATTAAATCTCTAGAGCCCTAAGTTTGGAAGCTGGCGTGCTGAAATGCTGCTGATGCTCCACTTGGGCTGCTGTGGCTGAATTAATTCTTCTGGGAACAGGGCACGCAGCTCTTATGAGAAAGGAGGCTGTGAGCTCCTTGTTTCATACACTTGTGTTTTCCTGCAAAATGTCAGAGGGATCAAGTAAGGACATTTTTGTGGAAATATGCAAACACAACTCCAAGAAAACAAGTTAATAAAACCCCATTACATAAATTCTGTAGCAGAGATGAAGTGAAGGACAAGACTTGCAAAGGGAAGCTACGCTGCCTTAGTTCTTTCATAATGATGGCTAAGTTTAATTTCTGCTAGAAATCACTCTGGAGAGGAATTTTTATCTTTCCTTTAGCTAAAAAAAGTGCCTCGTTCATTAGCTTCAGCAGGTTTAAGCTAGTTTTTTGTGAATATCCCCATTCTCTATTGCCATGCAGTACGTGTCAGCTATCATCCCTACCTGTTCCCCTTCCTTAGACTTCAGAGTTTTCTTTGAGTCTACTTCATTCATGCTAGTATGCTAATTTTCTTCCCACCTACGGTTGCTTTTGAATTTGTTCAAGGTCCTTGTAAAAAGACTGGTTAATTCTTGCACATCTCAGCGTAGTGTGGGTAATGGATCTGAGCAGGCTGTCCTAGCTGGCCTCACACTTAAGTGGCTTTATCAGTCAGAAAAATATTAATCTTCCTGTAATGTGTCTTTGTGTATAGGTAGGAGAATTGCAAAGTGTACAACTGGAACATTTTATTACTTTGGCTAAATTTGGAAGTGTTTTCTACCTCTATCACTGGGACTTGACCAGCTGGCAGCCTTTTTAAACTGATTTTAACTATCCCGGGCCAGTGCCATGGATACAGCCTGGTGAGCAGAGCCATCTTATGGCAAAGGTGCAGTGAATGGTTTCTTTTGTTCCCACAGGTTTGCTCTCTGACCTTGAGGAAGTCCATTGCTTTGCTTTGACAAGTATTAACCTTTTCTGTAGACAAGTAGCTGACAAATGTGTTTTAGGATTACTTTATTAGTGTTGTTAGAAAAGCAATATGAAACCTTTGAAAGAAAGGCTGTAAAATAGCCAAAAATATTAGGCTTAAACATGGAGCTCAGTCTTTCTCAAGTGAGCTTTTCAAGTTTCAAATTCAGCTACATCACGATTCATTTATGAACTAAAACGTGCAAAACTGTGGCATAATTAGAGTTCAAAAATCTAACTTGCATGGGAAGAAATGTTTAGAGTAAAATTTATTTCATGCTGGTCTTCTAATTGGCAATCTTTATTATTTTGGTGCTTGAAAATTGAAGAGCACTGAGAACTATTTCAAATTAAAAGCTCAAACAGAGTTTGTTGTTTGGGGTTTTTTTTATTACTGTAGCAGAATTCGTAATTTATTTGATGACTTGCTTAGTTTTTTTCTGAAAACTTTTAATACATTTTACATAAATTAGCAGAAAGGCTTTGAATTGTGTTTGTTCCTTGGTGCAGTTTCTGGCACTGTGTTCCACTCTCCCCCTCCTCAGACCAACCTTTTTCATCACAGCTGGTTAGAATTATGATCTCTGAGCACCATCCTCTACCAAAACCAGTCAAATCCATTCGAGGTTTGCAAAGATGGTTGTTGCTGCATTCTTCACATCCTCACTAGAAAATGTCCACATCAACCAGACTCTACAGGTATCAGTGGGCTCATTGTTCCACAATATCCTTGAGTTAAATTACGTGTTCTTAAATATTCCTTAATGTTAGAAAGGAATTTCTTCATTCTTACCAAATTTCCTCCAGCATTCTAAGATTTAGTGATGGGTTTTATTTGTCTGAAACAAATGTTGACTGTCTTGGGTGCTCAGATAAACTTTAGCCTTAATTTTCCTTCAATCAGATAACATCAATCCTACACTGGAACCAATTTTTAGATAGGCTGTATTTATAATCATAGAAAAAAAATCATAGTGCCAAAAACAAAACAACAACAACAAGGACTTTTTCACATATCAGGACATTACAAAAATCCCAGCAGGGCAGTTACTGAAGGGTCAATAACCTCACATCATAATAAAGAAAGACAGAATACCATGGTCTACTAATTTTAAATCATGGCCACTTTTAGACTACTTTAAATAGCAAGAAAACATTTAAGATGTGGTGCAGAGACTTTAAGGGAAATGTTAGGATACCCAGTCACATAATTGTTCTGCAGATTTTATCTCCCAAAAAGGCAGACCAGGTAATGTAAGAGTCACAAAGGCTTCAAGTAGGTGGCAAATGTCACTGTCAGGAACCTAGGGCTGAATCTCTATAAGGTCTGGTCGCTGTTGCTGCCACAGTGTGGGAGGATTCAAGTTAAAACTGAGTCAATGCCATGTTATCCCCTCTCTTGTTTGACAGCACGTTATCTACTCAACTGCTCAAGAGTTCGGAGGTCTTTAATTAATATTTTTTTGCCTGCTTAATGAATGGTGCACAAAGCCACATATTTAAACAGCAAAAAATGGAAAACCACCATCATTTTTTTCCTACATTTGTCCTAGTGACACTGTCACTTTTCCTCCCTGGTAGAGGACAAACAAAAAGCCAAAGACTACCACTCCCTGTTCTTTTTTCTACCAGTCCCACTCCTAAAAGGGTTCTCCTAAAGACGTTTACTGCCTTCAAAATTCCTTTTGTGAGACCACTTCTAAAACTGTTTTTACATTGTGAATCCTTATATCCTTTGACTATGCTAGAATGAAATGTGCTGGATAACTATCAACAGTGAATACAGGACATGATGTAAAAGAATGTGTATATCTGAATATTTAACCTTTTTATCCCCAGCCCAAAAGCCAGCAGCCTGTCCTTGATGCACCTATGTAGATAGACTAATAAGGTTTTCCTGTCCACAGTGTGCTTAAAGCACCTAGGGCAGGAAATAAAAGCAAAAAGCCACCCTGCTATAATTCCACATCACTGGTGATATGCACACACAGCTGAATTGTGCTATTTTGTAACTGCAACATTGGTGCAGGTGCTGCACCATTCATAACTGAATTGTGCATAGCACTGCCCAAAAACTACAACCCTAAACTGCAGAATTAACCCCTAATCCAGAAAAATATAAAATCACCTAATTTGACATCTATGAATTGAGATAAATTATTCAGCTACACAGATGCCAGTGTTCTAAGTGATCTGTTTTAAGAGAAGACATAGCAGGTGGTCATGTAACACTTAGAGGGAAGCAGAAGGGAGGCAAATAAGTCTGTTGAAGAATACCCACAGCATATTTTCATGTTTGTTGTGAGCTCTCCTAGAAACCTTTCTCACCATCTGTCTCACTTATATCATATAACCAGTTCATTACTGTAAAAACGGTAGAATACAGAGTGGCACTTTTTTCAGATTTTCTTTACCAGATTAGATGCTTCATGGTCTGTCTACCGAGAAGATGCTTATGTATTTTAATATGCTTCTGCTTTTATCATTATACCTCTGTATTTCAAAGACAGTGCAACTGCAGAGCATCATTAATGCTAAGTATCCTACCCATACCTACTGTGTTGATTGTCATCAAAAATCCAGAGTCCATAGGTAGAGATCAGGCTGTTTCTAGCTCTCTTCAATGTTCCTGCTTCCTCCTCTCCTTGCTGCCAGAGAAGTTGAGGATGTT